CCGAGCCCCAGGAATATTAAATAAATCCTTATAGAGAAGCAGACGCGTCCTCACAGGGCTGTTTATGCGGCTCCTCCACAACCCGCCTCTCCCCTGGGTCCCTTCCCTGGATCTTTGGACGTATCCAGAGTGCTCAGCTCCAGCAGCTGCAGCCTCAGCACCACCGTGGTGCATTTGCTCGCTTTGTCTGGCCGCCGGCTGAGCCCCGCTCACCCACGCCGCCCACCCCGTCGGAGCTGGTAGCGGGCTGGTGGCTGGCTTGACGCCCCCTTGCACGTGGAGGAACCCATCGTGGCACTGGCAGTTGGGTTTGGTGGCCTTTTGCACAGCCCAGACCAGGGCTGCTCTGTCTCAGGACTGTTTTGCCAAGCTTTAATTTGTCTATCCCGATCGCGGGATGAGAAGAGCATTAGACGAGGGCAGGGGAGTTACAGAAGCTTCTGAAGTAACCCAATTCGTTTATGAGAAAAGAGGTTTCACAGTTTATGTAGAGCTGCACTTACGCATAACGCTGCACTTTTTTTGGCTTCTCTCGCTTCTGGATTGAGTGGACTGATAGTTGTCGCAGTTTATATAAACTGAAAGAACCTTCTCGATAGTTCTGCCTGGGGGCCTGCCCCACAGGGGACCTGAGGCTTTTTCTGGAGGTGCCATGCAAATCCCAGTGGCAGTTTATAGTTACTCCTCTGTTCTCACAGTTTCGCGGTTGCAGGTGTTTTTCCCCGTGCCTCAGCAGATCTCACACCGAAAGAGCCGAGCTTAGACATCGCTCCGTGGCATTTCGTATTTGCTAATGTGATGCTTAACCTTTTAAAACTGTGGGGTGATTGGTAAAAGGGTGCTTTGATTCTCTCTTTTTTTAATTATGTCAGGGATGACCCAAGATCATCCCGTGTAACTTTAGCAGCAGGGCCTTTACAAAAGAGCGCAGGGTGGTCTTTAACACTTCCCAACGTCCTCATCGATGGTCCTGGTGCTGCCAGACAAGCGCCACGGGCGCCTGCGCTCCCTGGCATGGGAGCTGAGCTTTGCCCTGGCGAACCACGCGTTTTGTTCTTCCCATGGCAAGGTCTGGCGCGACGAGGCCCCTTGCTGCCTGTCAGCCCAGGCCAGGGGGCGTACGCGCTTTTAACGGCGGCTCATGCAAACTCGTGTGGACGCAGAAGGACACGGTGCCCTTCTGCAGGAGCCGATGCCTTCAGGGAAATCACAGAATCCCAGGTTGGAAGGGACCTCCGGGATCATCGGGCCCAACCTTTCTGGGCAAGAGCCCAGTCTAGACAAGATGGCCCAGCACCCTGTCCAGTTGCGTCTTGAAAGTGTCCAAAGTGGTGGAGTCAACCCCTCCCCCGGGGAGATTATTCCGATTGGTGACTGTTATCATGGTGAAAAATTCCCCTCTCACGTCCAGTCGGAATCTCCCCAAGAGCAACTTGTGTAAAGGCGGTGTTTGAGCAGCCCCGTCCCCTGCGGGGCCAGGCAGCGCTCGGATAACGCCTGCCTGCATCCCCCCCCCGCCTTTCCTTCTGGCGGGGCTGATAAAGGCTGCTTCCGATTATCCGGCAGCTCTGCTCCCCCAGCCTCGCTGCGCGGGTGCCGGGGGCAGGACACAATAACGCCCAGAGGAACAGTGAAGCACGGCACCTGTAACCCATGCTCAGTGCCCTTGGCTTTGCCCTGCCCACAGCAGCAGCTTGGGGTCCCCGCCAACGCTTGCGGCTGCCAACGCCTGCGCCACGCTCGCACCGTTGGGGCAGGCAGCTGGTGGCGGTTGCGACACCGGCAGAGCCCTTCTTTGGGCCTCCTGCCCCTCAGGGAGCCCCTCGCCAGCAGCAGGGGGGACTCGCCGCCTGGCTTGTGCGGGGTTGGTTAACGTCTTAGCAGCCCTCAAAGCCTGGAAAGTCTCGGTGGTGCTGGGGAGCTCCCCTCCCACGCCCACGGAACAGTTTTTGCTCGGCTGCGTGGCCCCTGGTGAGGCCATCGCTCCAGCTCCCATCAATGAGCTCTTTATTTGCAGCTGATAAACAGCAGACGCGCATCCCGTTGGGCTACTTCAGGCTGGCTGGGAGCACGAAATGCCTTGGATGTGTTTCCCAAGCGCCACGTGCCCGCTCTGTAACAAAGAGCCTAAGACAGCCCTTAAAAAGATCTTGGGTTTCTATAAAAGCAACAGATAACGCAGCATAGCGAAGATGCT